TGAGTTAATAGCCAACAAACATTGGCGAATCAAGGGGTCTAGCCGGCCTACGTCGCCTGGTACCTCTACTTCTCAAGCAAAAGTGACGGCGACTGAGTAACTCCAACGTTAACTCATAGTCACTCCCTCAAATTTGGTAAGGAACCTAAAAGGTTTGAGTAGACCACCTGTTTTTTGGCTAACAGGGGCACTCAAACCCCTATTCCTACTAGGTAACCTATTGAGTTAATAGCTAACAAACATCGGCAAATCAAGGGGATCAGCCGGCCTCCGCCGCCTGGTACCTCTACTACTCAATCTAGATTGTGACGAAGACTAAGTAACTCCTATGTTAACTTAATAGTCACTCAAACTTAGTATGGAGCCTAAAAGGTATGAGTCGTCCGCCTGTTTTTAACAAACAGGGGCTCTCAACCACTACTCCTGCTAGGTTAACAAATTATGAGTTAAAAGCCAACAAACATTGGCAAAAAAGGGAAACAACCGGTACCCACCGCTTGTTATCTCTACTACTCAGTTCCTTGGCAACTAGGTAATGCTCTATTTACTTGGTCAGACCACTTTCCTACTTGGTTAAATTTACAAATGACAGGACCGCTTGCCTAAAAAGGATCCAGACAAAATAGTTCGAATACTGATTGGATAAATGGCCGACTGATCGTCTATCCTGGAAACAGACAACCAGTCGTCCAGGGGCATAGGCGGCGTACTAACTCTCCGTACCTGTCTGCAACATTCGGCCATGTAAAACAGTCGGTCTAGTGAACAATTGGATATTAGATATGGAATACTTAGACAAATTTGAAGCAAAACAAAAATTCATTAAAAATAAGCCGGTCATTAAAGACCAGCAAAATATTCAAAGCCCCGGCCCCCTGGCCGGGTAAATACAAAGCAAACGGCACGCAAGCCGTGGAAAGAATACATAAAGCTTAAGAAGGGGGCAGTTCAGTATTAGCAGCTGCCGCCTGGTCAGCACTCTTCTTGCTGGACTCGGCTTCAGCTGCATCCTTTTTTGATGCCTTACCCCCAAGCGACACAAGCGCCACTACCGGCTCCTCCTCCTCCAACGCTTCCCCCAACGCCTCTTCTTCAGCAGCCGCCAGGATCTCTTGATGATATGTATCCGAACACTAGCGGTACGTTCTTTCCCAAGAGGCAAAGTCGGCACTGGGGAAGAGGCGGCCCCAGGTCATGCGCTGGATTTGAGCGGAGTCTTCCATCATCTCCCGGACCAGCTCTTTCTTCTCTTGCTCGGCCTTTTCCGAGAGCTCTTGGGTAAGACTCTTCTCCTGGGTCACCAGGCGTTCCTTTACGTTGGCCAAGGATTTCTCCATGGCATCGTAAGAGTACATTTTCAGGCGAAGAGGTTTCAGCTCGGCCTTGAGATTTGTGATGGTCGCCTCCAGCTCGTCATTCTTCTTCTGGGCCGCCTCTAACTGAGCCCAAACAGCGGCGGTAGCCTGCGCCTGATAATAAATAATATCAATGGTCAGTACTTCATTTTGGGCAATTTGAAACATTGCCTTATCACAGTCAGAGGCGGCCATAGCTTTTGCAGCCTTTACCTCTTTGTTCTTCCGATCAAGCGGCTTGCGAAGGCCGTTCACTCGGAGCAGGGCCTAAGTACAAAGAAACAGGCGTCAGTTTCCAATCAAAAAACAAAACAGGCGTCCAGAAATTCAAATACTCAAAAATATGCTAAGTATACCTCAGCAAGGACCCCTGCAATCCCGTCAAGGTCAAGGGTGCCGACACCCCTGACCGCCTCCCTTTCGGCTGGAGGAACTGCCCTGATCATAGACTTGGCCATCTCTACCAAGTCAGGCTCCTGGGGGCCGGCTGCATCAAGCATAAACAAACGGATTAGACTTAGTAAAAAAGGGGCAAGTCTAAAATTTACAAGGACAACTTCATACCTCTAGGCGGCCCAGCTGGAGTTTTAGAAGAAGTGGCCGGCTATTTCTCAGCCGCCACCTGTTTCCTGGAAGAACCAGGAGAGCTCCCAACAGTCGTCTTCCGGGCCTTGGGGTCCGGCTGTTGGGAAGATGAAGCTCTTGGAGCACCCGTCTAAAACAGAAGAAAAAAGTCAGTATATGCATAAACACTCCAAAAAGAGGGTGAAAGGTTCGGAGCTCACCAAGGGTGCCCCCTTTTTGGGGGAGTCGGTTGAAGCTTGTTGCATGATGGAGGCCCGCAACATGGCCGCCGCAGTCTTGGAGGCGGTGATTTTGCTCATGGCGTCAGCTGCAAAAACAAACAGCAAAGTTAATAAAAGTCATAACAAGAAATGTATGGAACAACAGAGTATTCGATAGGCCGACTACCTCTTGAGCACCGATTGCTGAGGCCACAGGCGGCCAAAAAGTACTCGTCATAGAGCCACTTGAAGCTCGGGACGTAGTGCAGGGGTACTTGCTCTCGTACCCCTGAAGTAGAGTCGACCCTCGACCCTACTTTAAAGAGTCCTTTATCAAGGATCTCTTTCTTAGCCTTGGGGGGAACAGGCGGCATGCTACGGCCGCCTGCAAGAAGAGGCGGATTCCTGTTCCACCTATTGAAGCGCTTGTTCAGCTCAATGTCTGAACTCTCAATGATGAGGAAGGTGCTCCGCCAGTCCTTCCACTTGTTTGCTTTACCTCTCGTCATGAGGTATCCCCTGTGGCTTGTTAATTGATACCAGCCGGTACCGCCTGTCTTAGGGGTCCGGCTGAGATAGTTCATATGGGCGAAAGCCTCGAAGCTCGGCTCCACCCCGTGCAGTTCGCACCCGGCCACATAGCCGAGTACGTTGACCCAGGAGTTTGGGGCTAACTGCCATAACCCCAACTCATACCCATCCAAAATCCGCTGAACAACCGGATGTAATGGGAAGCGCAGCCCTGCCTTGATGGCCGCCTCGTAGCAGCCAAAGCAGGCGCTTTCATAACTGGAACCAGCCGGCCAGACGACTGTGTCTTCTGGATCTGGCACAAACACTAGAAAGTCGGGGCCCATGGTGTGGTTTGCAATAAAGCTCTCCATTTTCTCTTGCATGGCTGTGATTCGGCCCCGAGGTACCGTGCAGTAGTAGGGGGTATTTAGCTCTCGGTAAGAGGCGGATGGTTCCGCCCAATTGTCCCCCTTCTCAACTGCGTGAGAAAGTCTCGCCTCTTGCAGGCGGCTGTTTTTCTCTTATGTACCCAAAGAAGCATGGCCAGAAGAGCTTGACTCGGAATCGTCCTCCGACGAGTCTGAAGAGGACGACTCCTCCCCTCTCCCGAAGGGGCCCGCCTCCTCTCTTTGAAAAGGAGCAGATTTGTTAACTGTTAAATGGGAAGGGGTCACTATGACTCCCCCCACAGAATTGCCGGCATCCAGGCCGCCTTGTTTCACTTCCACATCTGGCGCCTGGTCAGATGTTTCACTAAGCGGCACCCTGTGGGAGGAGCCGTCTGAATTTGAGATCCTAGCTGTCTTTTTCGTTCTGGCCATCCTGCTCTGCATAGACACAGATACAGTCGGACTTTGTATAAAGGGCAAAGATGGGTCCGGAAAAGGGCAGGCGGCACTCCTAGTCCTAGATTCAGCCGTCCCCGGTGACCGGCTGATCACTAACCTAGGTCGTGTCGTGTGCTTCCGTGGTGCCATTTCAAAAAATAAAAAGAAAATTAAGAGTAAGAGAACTGAGTTACCTGAACGAGTGACGGTTGATGAAGTTCTGAAAATCCTATGCAGTCGGCTTGTCAGAACAGGCGGTAGGCAGAAAAGGTCCGAAATGTCAGAGCAAGTTCAGGGGTCCGAATGTTCTCAAAAAGTTCTCAAAGTGTGAAAATGACTCAAGACAACTCTCCCTTATATAGGCGAAGTGAGAAGGCGAAGGGTCACTTTCAGAATTCAAAATTTGGGCGGGAAAATCTCTCGTCCTTTGGCCGACTGACACCTGTAGAAGGTCGCTGCCTGTTACAGTGCGACACCTGTCACAGGTAACACGTGACCAATCACGTGCCACCTGTGAGGGGCAAATGATTAGGGGATTTTGCTCCCACCAATCGGAATGCGCCACGTGGGCCAATCAGGACCTGCCAAGTGTCCCCTAGTTGGAACTGTCAGGGCTTGCCACGTGGCACGCGCTTATTCGTCCACCTTGGACCTGTTATGTCACGACATGTGGCATACTCCATGCCTAATGGAGAAACCGGCCACCCAGGCCCAACTTCCGAGGGAAGCCCAATCGGCCCTAGGTTAACCTAAACCTAGGATGGGCACTTTTCCAAGGTTATAAATACCTCCCTTAATCCTCATTAAGGGGGAACACAGAAATATTGCGGAAAAAAACACATTAATTACACACAGTAATAACCGGCTGATCTCGCTAACAAAGCAGATTACCTACGTTAATCACTCTCACCTAGAGAGACCTAATCACTTTAATTTCCGCATTAATTACTCCTTAATCAAGTACTAACTTGACCGTTGGAGGCGGAGCTCCCAGGAGTCTCCGTTATTTTGCAGGTACAGGCGTCCGGTTCCAGTCTCGGAATTGTAACTCTCCCGCAGGACATCAGAAAACCCCGAAACACATACCCTACCACATGAATGTCAAAGCATCAATTTTAAATTACTTAATCAACGCTTTAAATAATCAAATGTCAGTAACCTAGGTTTAATTGCATATTCTACCAAAAATACACCAACTACAATGCATTATTGCGAAAAAACCACCATTGTTGGACCACTATAAGTAACTAGGTTAAGCGTACCTTCCAACAGTCGTTTTCAGGCAACTCTTCAACTTCCCACAATGCAGATGACGCTTCCTCGCACCAGCTTCACTAAGACCTTCCACGCGCTTCAATTTGCAGAATTCAGAAATGTTAGAGATGGAGATGGTGACCTGTAGTGATAGTAAAATACACTTCAATGGAGATGGTGAATTCAGAAAGGTTGTTGAGAGCATTCAATGGAGATGGTTCTAGGAGAGAGAAGACAAAGAAAGGGTTCTAGGAGAGAGAAGACGAGAAAGGAAAGTTGGGTAGCTATAGTGGGGCCCAAAAACGGCAAATGTAACAGTTTTCGTTTTCTGGTAGCTAATTTTAACAACAGTGAATTTTAGTGGTAGTAAAATAAATAAAAAAATTTTAGAGGTAGCAAAAGTGAAAGTCAACACTTTTTGTGGTAGCAAAAGTCAAAATTTCCTAAATTAAAAGTTTAGAGAAATTTTCACTTCTTATATTATAACCAAACAACCACTACTTTTTCGAGTCGAGTTGAGTCAAATCCCGGACTAGCCGACCATTACAACTCCATAAAAATACTAAAATCCACAAACTTAAAGAAATTAACATTGTACAAGTGCAGCAATGGCGACAACTTCTCTCTCCTCAATATCTTCCCTCATTCTCACTCCTTTACATCCTCAACAAAAACCCATTTACCCCACTAACTTATCAACCAAATACCCGATAATAATCCGCTGCGCAATTGCTTCATCTACCTCTCGCAGCTCAAGAGTATCCGAACCCAAAAACAAGAAGAAGAAAATTTGGAAAGAAGGGGAATTTCCAGCAATTTCTCAGGGTTCAATTCCAAAGAGAAGAACCCAGATTAAGAATGTCAAGAAGAGGCTTGATCGTAAGGCTAAAGCTAAGGCTTGGGTTAATACTGTTACTGAAGCTCTTTCTGACCTTATCCTTAAGAAACAATGGCTTCAAGCTCTTCAGGTTCTTTTCTCTCCTCTACTTTTACTGCTTTTCGACTTTGGAGAACGTGTAATTAGAGCTGTCAAAAACTGACCAAATAACCCCACATGACTATTAGTTTGTTGACCTGATATGACCCGATCCGAACATTCTATTTGTCACTTAGCTTTACATATGACAGTTAACATTGTGTTAATGCTTTAATTTAGATTTGAGTAGTGTGTATTATTATTGTGACTAAGAAGAAGTCTAGTTGATTTTTTAACTTTTTTGGTTGAATTGTTTTATAATTCTTCTGCATGAATGATTGTTATTGATGAGCAATAGGAAAGGAAGGATATCATATTTGTGAATGGAAATTATAGAGGTGGTTTGAAATTTTGAACTGATTAGGTGTTTGAGATGCTGAGAGAACAATCATTCTATCAACCAAAAGAAGGAACCTACATGAAACTCCTTGTACTGCTTGGAAAATCAGGACAACCACGACGAGCCCAGGAACTTTTTGCTACTATGATAGAAGAAGGGCTTGAACCTACAGTTGAGCTATATACTGCCTTGCTTGCTGCTTATTGCCGCAGTTTCTTGATTGATGAGGCGTTTGCGACTCTTAATAAGATGAAGGAGCTTCCTCTCTGTCAGCCTGATGTTTTCACTTACAGTACTTTGATTAAGGCTTGTATTGATGCTTCTGAATTTGATTTAGTTGAGTCCCTCTATAAGGAGATGAATGACCGAGGAGTAATTCCCAATACGGTCACTCAGAACATTGTACTCGGTGGATATGGTAAAGCTGGGAGATTTGATTTAATGGAGAAGATTTTGTCTGAAATGCTTCATAATCCCACTTGCAAACCTGATGTGTGGACTATGAACACTATAATTGCCTTGTTTGGAAACATGGGTCAGATTGAGATGATGGAAAGGTGGTATGAGAAGTTCAGGGATTTTGGGATTGAACCAGAAACTAGGACTTTTAACATCCTAATCGGTGCTTATGGGAAGAAGCGCATGTATGATAAAATGTCTACGGTGATGGAATACATGCGCAAGCTTGAATTCCCTTGGACAACTTCCACTTACAATAACGTGATTGAGGCATTTTCTGATGTAGGAGATCTGAAAAACATGGAATTTGCATTCGATCAAATGCGTGCTGAGGGCATGAAAGCCGACACTAAGACTATCTGTTGTCTTGTTCGGGGATATGCCAATGCAGGTGTCTTTCATAAAGTTGTGAGTACTGCTCAGTTGGCTGGAAGACTGGAAATACCAGAAAACACATCGTTTTTCAATGCTGTTATTTTTGCATGTGCAAAGGCTGAGGATTTAATGGAAATGGAGAGGGTTTATAAGAGGATGAAGGAGAAACACTGCCAGCCAGATGACGATACTTTCACTGTGATGATAGAGGCTTACAGGAAGGAAGGTATGAGCGACAAGATATATGACTTGGAGCAGGAAAGAGAAAAGATGGTTTCTGATTCAAGTGAAGTGATGGACCCTGTGGGTGATGTCTGATTGAAGACTATATGATTGATATTCAAAATGTGGTTTCGGCTTTTGCAATACTTCCCAAGTAAAGGAATTCCTTCTGCTGTCATCCTGTTTTTATGACCACAAAAACATCTCTTCAGTTACTGCAACGATGCAGGAGGTCCTTCAATCATGCAGAAAATGCCAATGAGGTTGAACAGATGAAGTAATGGGCCTACACACTTTTGGAAGCTAGTATTCCTAGTGGTGTATCTTCTTCCGGTTGTTGAACGACCTTGCAGTTTTGTTTCTTGAAGAAGAGCAAGATGACATATATGGTCTTTATATTAATAGGAAGATTTTAACAATTTTAAGCAAAATGGGGTAGTGTAGGAATTAGTTGGTCAAGTTCTTACATTGTGCATAGTTGAGTGTTATGCTCTATGTATTATGCATAATTATTATCATTGTGCATGATCGTTTGAGAATGTACTTACAGGGATATTTCAGTGCAGAAAACTATGTTTCGGTTAGTAACTACAAGTATGTTTCAGTTAAAATTCTACTATTTGTAGACAAGGGGAGAATAAAGGATGGTGATACGGCAAGTAATAACATATCACCTAGAACAAAGGATGCTGTTAAAAGGCAAGTAATAATATATCACCTAGAACAAGGGGTGCTGTTAAAAGATCGAACTCCAGAGATTGAAGGAGCCACATAGCAGGAGATGTGGTAGGTTGGTTTTGGGTTGAAATGGGATGTAATCTGCAAATCCATCCCTTTCAACCCAAAATTTGGACCTTTTATTCTTGGAAGGTTGTTTGAAAGGAAAATTCACCATCAATTCTGCAATGCATATTATATAATGAGAAGAATGTGAACCTAGTGAAAAGATAAAGGCAAAGTGTGTTTTTGAAAGGAATGAAAATGGACATGGGAGATTTTCTTCAAGTGCGAGTTGTGAGACTCAGTGAGTTTCTTCACACGCCTCGGCCTATGCAACGTGAAACCTCCACCCTAAGGTTGTTAATGCTAATTCAGACAGAGCAGTTAAGGAATAAATGTTCATCATTCAAGGAATATGTCAGGTTTAGTGAGGAAACTCGAGTATCATGCAGACAATTTAAAGCAAATCTCAATATAAAGACATTAAAAATAAAAAATAAAAAATAGATGTAAGAATGATATAATTAAATTACAAAATTTACACTAAATGAAAACGTAAGGATACACGTGTTACTGTAAATTTCCTCTAAAGTAAAAATATACTGGTATAAGTAATAAACTAAAACACACCAAAAATGTTGATGAAACCAAAAACCATCTACCGTTCTCCCACCCCTAAAAACTCCCAACACAACAAAATGGAGAGGGAAACAACAAACAAATGAATGATACAAGCAAGCTATACAAAAAAATTAATAATTGAAATGAATTATGCAAACTCCGATCTTGGTGTAAATTTACTATTTCCTATCCGTGTGTTGTTCATGGTGTATTCGTCCTTGATGAATCTAGCTCTCGATTGTGTAAAACTAGCAGAGCCATAAACAGCAATTCAAGAACAAATTTTCAGCTGACCGTCTTCTGTTCCGACGAGAAAAAGTCGTGAAAATGGAAGAATAGCTATGCTAGACAACACAGACATGTTTTGGAACCCTCGGTCTGCTATATGTAGAGCCTGACGAACAATACGATGCTGGCCATACTGCGGAAAAGAAAAATTCAACAAACTAGCAGGAAAAAAAAAAATATGGCCCTACTAAACCAGCACCTCTCACAAATTAAGCCAACTTAGCTACGCAGGTTAACGATTGAGAGTAGAGGAGGGAGGTAAGGGAACCCCCTACTCCCAAGCAAATGTAGTTGGTGGGGTTTGAATTTGTGACTTTAAAGTTACAAGGTGAATTTCTCACCAACTCCACCAAGCTTGCTTGGTTTAATACACAATGTATGAAGTACAAGAAATTGCAGCCTACAGTCCAGTCTCCTACTCTGAATATATTCCTTAGTCTGTGTTGTATGTCAATAGTTAAAACAGTTTTAGTACTTACTTCATCCACAGCTCCAGCCAGAGAGGAGAGTCCAATTTTATTTTTGGCAATTGAAACTATATCTTGGCCCCAAACAGAAAAATCTAATATACTATCACTGTGACCTTTGTAGACAATGGGTTGTGGCGGCAAACTCCTGCAAAACAGAAAGCAAATCCAGCAATTAATAAATGAGCTGCAGTTCAGTATAATGCAGCACTTAACAGTGTCCACAAACAAGAGTAACGCTTTTAGATGAACAATCATTTCAAGGCAAGCTGACCATGCCGTGCTTGTACAATTTGAAAACTAGTCATGCTAAATCCATGGCTCTAACTTCCCAATAGCATCAGCCGATGAGGGAACTGAGAGTCTGAGACTGTACAAAATCTAGGACACCAGGGATATGTGAAATTTGATGTCTCATGGTCACTCTTTTTCCATGGGATCTGGATGCAAGTGATGGGAGATTAAGTAGAACGCTGAATTCAAGGCCAGTGAACACAAAGGTAAGGGACTTCAAAACATAACTCAAAACAAAGGTGATATTTGCATCAAGCACAATGGGGAGATCTGGGAGGGAGAGTTTTGTCAGTTAGCAGGCTGTAAGTTGTTACCTAGCCTAGGGAAAGAGGTTTTTGCTTCAAGAAGCTTCTCTTGTGGAATGAAGCCCAACCCTTTTGAGCCATGTGATTGTTAACAACCAATCCTATAGCACGCCAAGGAAGAAGCAAACCTTTCTGAAGATGAATATATGTGATATTAAGATGAAATCTCAAGATAATCCATGTTGGCATGGTTCCCTAATTTATAATTTATTCAAATCATGAAGCAGAATGGATATACAGTATGTAGTTCATCAACCACAGTGAATTTTGCAATGATGAACTACATAGCATTAATTAAGATTAATTCATTGTTTCATTTCTTGTTTTTCTAAATGCTACTGTATTACTGTATAAAGAAATAAAGCCAAGTTCATAAGCCCACTAAGCATTTTTAAATTTTTATTATTTAAGGAAGAACAGAACTACAAGACATCTCAAATAATAACTTTTCCATTCTACCATCTTCAACAAGGGTTTTTTTTTTTTTTTTTTTTTTTTTTTTACCTAGAAGAAAGGATTTCTTTTTCAAAGCCCAATCAAATCAGATCCCTATTTCAAGGGCGTTCACTTGGGAAAGACAGATTTACAAAAGGCCAGCCTGCAATGAGGTATGAGGGTGGGCATAAAATCCACCAAAAAGGTGCTAGTCTATCTCCTCATTTGGGACTTGGAAAGATCTTAATAAACAATCTTCACTCTGTATTGCTTTAGATTTTATCTTATATTCAACTAGACTAGTTGGATTCTTTTAGGATAGAAGCAAAGTCTAATCACACAACATTTAACACTTACCCTACACAATCAATCACACAACATTTAACACTTACCCTACACAAAATGGAAAGAGAGGTAGAACGGAGTGACAAGAGAATGAGTGAAAGCAAACTGAAAAGGTATGATTTCATCCCACACTGAATCAATAATCAAGACCTGAGGTGCTAGCATAGGAGAAGAACTGCTGTCTCAGCTAGAGGAAGATTTGGTAGTCCTATTATTAGTTCCTAAGAATTGACATACAAGATTTTGAAAAATATGTTTGGTAGGCTTTATTTTAATGCATAATTGTAATTATAATTTCATGAGCAAAATTATATTTATACAGCTTTCACCTCAGTTGAAAATTCATAGATGACACACGTACAAGATAAAAATAAAAATAAAAAAAATTGAGCAGCCTATATTAGAGAAAAGTACAACCGGTCTAACTCCCCAAAAAAAGCAAATTAAGCAAGTGCAGCTAATTACATATCATGAACGACATGAAGGCATCATAGCACTTGAATGTAATACAACACAGACCACCCAACTCAAGACTTACTTTCTGAGGTCCCAGATTCGTAAGGTTTTGTCCAGAGAGCTGGAAACAAGATAATGATCCTCTGGTGCAGCCAGCTGCATGAACAAGTCATTCACATAAGTAATTTGCAATCTAAAGAGACATATTTTCTACCAAGAAATACCTTTGTCACATATCCATCATGAGCACGCCAGGAGGCAATGACATTGCCACTTCTGGCATCAAGCAGCCTGCAATTACCAGAACCCAGTCCCACCGCAATCCAAGAGTGAGAAGAAGCATATTCCATTTTGTCAGAACCACACGAGCATATGGCAGAAACAAGGGAAGGGAATCCATAATTCGCATATTCACTGTTCCACATATGAAGCTTCTCGCCGACAGCAGGATCAATGAATCTGCATATTAGCAAAAGACTCTCAATAACCAGGAAAAAGTCCAGAGATTTGGTAAAGATGGAAACTACTTCCACTTTCCCTATACCTGAGAGAACCATTTCCAGTACCAACTACCAGCTTTTCCATAGATTCTAAGAAATGCATGCAGGTATACAAAGTACTATCAATGCTGGTAAAAATTCCACCAGAATGTGGGTATGAGTTCAGCATACTAGCTTGGTCAGTGTTGACCCTCACTGCAGAAGATGGAAGTCCAGAAGTTTGAGTCATATTGGCAGATGATTCAAAAATTATTGTTATTGCTTTTCCAGTTTGGCTATTCCAAACATGTATGGTCCCATCACAAGATGCCACCCTCCCACTGTAAGGAAGGATACATATGTCATTCACCACCTGGAAGTAGAAAATATCAATCAGACATCCAAGTTCATCAAGCTTCAGTAAAACAGCTGAAAAGTCACATACAGTGTATAGATTAAAGAAAGAGCAGGAAAGACTATATGATTAAGGAAAAAAAATACAGCAAAAAAATATTCAACAACAATATTTCAATAACTGTCTTGGATGACATCCTACGGAAAAGTGCTGATATTATTCCAGTTTTCACTACTTCCTAATAAGGCAAATTTGAAAGATTCCTAGCTTGAAATAGATCTTACGGATGCCTTGTAAGAACATTTTAAAATTGCAATTTATGATTAAGCTCTTGCAGTTATTGATGCTTATAAATTTACTTGATAAATCCACGAGTCCAGCTGTGCAAAATGGCAAAAATACTATGCATAATTCTATTTTACAAGTATAGACCATGCACATTCTTATTTACAGGTACTTCGTCAGCCAAATAGCTTGAGATTTGATCAAATCCTTGTTTGTTTCTTATTCAGTCAAACAGCTTAAACTACTCCGTACAGCTGATAAGTCTGTCCAAGATGTTCATGTCTAATGTAAATCCTTTGAAATTAAGCTCTCATTGTGAGCAAGGGGACGTATATACCATAAAAAATCAAGCCGCATTATCCCGGTTATCAGTTCTTTCATCTTGATTAATCAAATAAATCTAGGACAATGGACAAAATTTGATACTCAAGTTGTCCACTGACCAGAGAACACCAAATATGAACTTCACAGAATGTGTTATTCTAGACCTATGAATTCTACATCAACATCATTGTTTGAA